AAACTTGGTTATAGAATGTGTATTAAATTTTAAAGATATTCTGAAAGTTTTTAAACCTTTTATTTCAATTTCTAAAATAATCATTAAATATATATTGACAGATTAGTGAAAAATATGACAGACTATCATTACATAAATTGTAAATATTGAGCTATTTTCTAATATGTATATATAGATATTGATTGTGTTTTCATTTCATTTACAACTATTCTAATATGACCTTTTTATGAAAATTTGTATATAAATTTTGCTTCAGTTATCTGTATTAAAATGCAATGAACTAAATTTATTACTGCTTTTCACAAAATCATTATAATTATGAAAGAAAATTTATTTTACACTAGCTGCAAGGACCCCTGCTTCGCTGAGTTTTTATTTGTGGGCAAAAAGAAACGATAGTGAAGATTAAGATAATTACATTATAGCCAATCTTACCCATTTTCACAGAATGCAAGAATTAGGTCCCCTGTTTCCAGACTAATTAGAGAATTTTTACGTCCAGTCAAACGAACTATTTTCAATTTGATCAATTTTCTGGAATGTTTACAATTGTTCTATAATTGAACCAATTCGAATTTAAAATGGTTCGAACATTTTTAAAATCGAAATAGAAAATCTTCCACTTTCAACCACTTTCAAGCCCATATCTCCCACCCCCTTATAGCTATCGAGATGCAACCACCATAGTGCAAGAATGGAGACTTGGGGCTACTACCACATACAAACATCATTCATGTGCGATGTGTAGTTTTGGCTAAAAAGTGAAATACATAGGGACACACATCCATTTTTATATATATATATATATAGATGAAGTTATGAATATTTCCTCAGAAATTGTTTAATTTAAACCAATATAAAAAAATAATAATAATTTGCTCATTTTACTATTGAAAAAGTAAATACATAGAATTAAAATTTAGTTAAATAAATTTATATAATTTAATTGTTAAACAAATGGTTAATTTTTAGTTTCCTGGCTGTTATGTATACATAACAAGAGAAAGTATTGGAATCGTGTCAAATTTGACCCTCTGAGTTTTTTTGCAAATCTCCATGTTTTGAGACTACCTGAATCCAAAAAAAGTCAAAAAAATTGTGTGTGTGTTGATGTCTATTTCACAAGTGCATTTTTAAAGTAACATTTGAATTTTCATGTAGATGTTTGACTGTTTTTAACCTGAAAAATGTTTGTATTATTATTTTTTTTTTAGTATAATTTGTGCTATGTATTATTGGTATAGTGATGCACTTTGGACTTAACAGATATTTCTTTTGTGAATTAAAGCTTCATAATGATGTTGTTTATGAAACTGATTCATATGTGACATTTTTCAAATTTTTGATTTTAGTTGTGAAGTAATACAAACCAGCAAAAATGTAGTTCATATAATTTTGAGAGTTTTAACAATTTATGAAGCAAAATGAATAATAATAAAAAAATATTTGGTAGCAACATAAATAGAAAAAAATAATGAACATCAAAAAAGTAAAGATGACAAATAAACATTCATTTTTTTTGAAAAAATAGATATTTCATATTTCTTATCAATAATCTTATTCAGCATTTTATTTCAAATATTTTTAACTTGTAATGATGATGAACCAGTTTTTCCAGTTTCTCTGAATTTGCTACCTGTTTTATTTGTAGTGATCTTGAAAAATTATAATTAAGTAGTAATAGCTGTTTTATTATTAAAGATAGAGTAATGCTAGATAAATATGAAAATGCTTATTATAATCTATCATTCAATTGATATAAATACTGGTAGGAAGTTTTGAAGTGTAACTTATCAAGAACATAAAAATAAAGCTAAAACTAAAAAATTTTTCAAATTTATGCACATATATTATTGAAATATTGTGTGTGTGTGTAAACTTCTTTTTAATTTTATAAAATTAAAAACATTTAATCACTATTTTAAAAATTAATAAATTAATAAGCTAAAATAGATTATTACAGTATGACAGAACTTACCACTAGTTATTGGGCTGCAATTTTCAAATTGTAGATCTACAGATTCTTATTGTCATCCATCTGTCATCTATCCTTCCTTAATCTCAAGAACAGAGTTGGCGAGATGAAAATCAAGACCAGATATGGAAAGCTTAGGGGCCAGAGGCCCAGATTAACAATATACAAACTTCTATTCTGGCCAGAAGTCACATGATTTTTTAAAAATTAAATTAGGTTTAAAACTTGCAATCTAGCATTGCGATGATGTCACAGTAAATAATTGCTCATTTAGTATGTAAACTAATAGTGACAATATTGTTTGCTAAAAATTTAATAGTAATTCTGTAGCAAATTTAAGATGATATGTTAACAAATTTTGTAGAAAACTTATAATGAATAATAACTACATATATTTGAGGTTATCAAAATCAAAAAACATTTTGCCTGATTTTAGTGAAACACAAGTATAATATTTAGTATAATATATATCTATATGAAATCTATAAATTATGATCATAGTAAGCAATACTTCATTGTGTGAGAGAGCCAAATTGACAAAATATTTTACAGATGAAAATTTAAATCTGAAATTAAAACCTTGCTATAGTTTTTCCCACAATTGTTAAAATTGTAAAGAATATGATTTTATCCCTCTGTAGAGTCACTTCCCTTTTAAGATGATACATCGAATATGTCACCAGGAACTTGGAGACAAGAAATTGCTATTGGACATAGGTGCTGCAACATTGCCAAAAAAGGGCAAGGGAGAAAAGAGGGGAGAACCCCCATAAAAGGCAATGACTGATGATGAAAAAGATTAGTCTGGAAAAAGAAGTTTGTCTGTCCTACAAGCAGTTCATCTGCTGACAAGGGGACAGACGTTTGTCCAAGAATCCTTCGTCATCAAAAGTTTGCCCTAGTCAGAGTTGGATACCTTAGTGACCTTCCTCTGTCTAGAGTAGTGTTTCTTAACCTCTAACGAATCATCACCCCCTTCACTACAAAATTCCAATGCCAAGAGCCAAGACTAACGCCAAATTCGTACTACATTGAATAGAATAGCGACTAGTATAATTTTATTTGTTTAATTATTGTACGATATAACGAATAAAATATCTAATTATTCTTAATATAATGTTTTACTATATTGCCCAGAAAATTGTTTTTCGCCCCCCCAAAATATAAATTGTTACTAATTGCCCCCTCAACATGGAAAAACGCCCACATGGAGGCGATATTGTCCCATTGAGAAACACTGGTCTAGAGTGAACACCTTGAATAAGTGAACTTTTTTAAAGTGACTCCTTCAGAAAGAGAACTTCTTTAAAATAACTTCTTGAAGAAGAGAACTCCTTAAAAAAGGGCCATCCACGAGCCATCTAACCATGAACTCCATCAATCTGGCATTCTAAGGTATCTATATAACTTATCTAGATGTAAGCTCTCTCTCTTCCAACGTAGAACACAAATTTGTTAAATCATAGACGTAACCTTTACTATGAAATATTAATCTTTTTGTATAGTTAGTTAAATAAACAGGTAATCGTTATTGTTAGAATTGTGGTTGGTGCACTTCCTCAACCCAGGTCATCTCCATCGGATCCAAGCACCTACAACGCGACCACTTGCAGAAAAAAACCCAAAACTATCTGCAATAAGGGTCTCTATGTCTACCCAGAAGACACAGTGGTGTCAGTTCTGACGAATTAGTCATTGCAGTCTTTGCCGACGCAATGTCAACCCTTCAGTCCTGTGGTTCTGAAGCATAAGAGGGCGCTCCAGCATTGACAATTGTTTGAATTAAAATGGAATTATGTTTAAATGTAAAAACTTTTGCTTGTAATTTGAACATTTACCTCTTTTATGAATATCCACAGTTTAAAGAATTTATTCAAAATAAATTCTGAAAAATTAGAGATTTAAACTACCATATTTTGATATGTATAACCTGCAGATTATTTGTGTTTAAGAAAACTTGAATGGGTTGTAGGTTATGTGCGAGTTTTAAGTTAAAATTATGAACCCATACCTATGGAACAAATATCTAGAAGCCTGATATTTTAATCATAAATCAAATGATTTTCATATTAAATCGGACCATTTTACTGCTATTATTAATAATTAGATTTCTTCCAGAATATTCTAAATTATTTAATAAAAATATTAATTTAATTATAATTATTAAATTTAATATGGGATGGCACCTAACACCTACTTCTAGTACCAAATTACTTAGAGCCTAATTATTAATATTAGTGGTAAAATAGACCAATTTAATGTGACAATCATTCAGTTTATGATATGGAACAATGACTGATCCCATAGACATGGTTTTCAATGGGAATGTGTTATGCTAAGGCATTAGCATAACACATGGTGGTTTACATTGGGGATCATCAAATGGATCATCAAAGACAAATGGTGGTTTACATTGGATTACATCTCCAATGAAAACCACAATTCTAGAAATTTTCTGTGGGTCAATTGCATGAAAATACACTTTCTGAATATTATTTACATAGCATATTTCAAATAATCACAAATTTGTTAATTTGGCATAATTACTGACAATTTAAGTTTTAAAATCATTTTTTTTTTTTTTTATTGTATTTAAAATTACGTGAATGATTAATGATTATTTGGATAATTTTTAAATATAATTAATGATCAATAAGCATCATTAATTATGAAAAATCTTTTAGATATATATTTACTAATATAGTTTATATTTTCTGAATTTATTGTTTACAAACAGATAATTTAAGTATAATAAAAGAAATATACACAACTTGTATAAATTAAAACATTTAAATTAATGAAAATTTTATATATAAATTTACATTAAGAAAGTCATATTAGAATAGTTGTAAATGAGATGAAAACACAATCTATATAACACAATCTATATATATATATTAGAGAAAGTAACCCAATATTAACAATTTTAATAATAATAGTATGTCATGTTTCTTACTAATCTGTCAATATATATATATTCAATGCCAATTTTATCATTTTTTAAAATGGGTTGTTTTCTTTATAGTCATGAAGGTCTTTACAGTACGTCGTGGAAAAGTGATTCGTGTTGTTCTTGTTATTATAGCTGTGATGTTAACTGTTACATTTTTTATGCCTAAACCAAAAAGTAAAGAAGATCAAATAAGAAGAAAATTGGAAATCAAAGTAAGTATTGTTTTTTATATCAAACATTCTAATTGAAGTTTCAATATTTGAAATTTTTGCTTCTTCTAAAAAAGATGCAATTCTTATATTTTAGTTTTTCATTTACACTCTGAAAGTGTTTTAAATATAACTTAATTTCTATAGATTTTCTTCTCTAATTTTTGAATATCAGTTTATAAGCCTTCAAAATTTTTATTGAATTAATTACTGTTGTAAGTACAATGATTTGAATAATTTAATCCTATAGGTAAACGTGGGATATAAATATTTTTTGATATATTTATTTACAGTATATATACAGAAATTTGTTGCTAATCTCAATGCTTAGATAATTTGAAATAACTTTATTAAATTCAGAAAATCTTGAAAAAATTTTTTGTATTGTTAAAAAAAAATTTTCTGTTACAAATAAAATTTAAATTGTATCATTTTCCCACTAGCCATATTCACTATCTCTTTCTTTTGTATAGTTAATTTTTAAAAAATGATAAAAATGCATAATTACAAATAACCAGCATGAATTAGATTTAATTAAACAAAAAACAAACACTTTTTTTTTTGTTTTTAATGGTCATTATCAGGTTTAGAACTAATAAAATGTGTGTTTTAAAAAGAAAAAAATTTAAAAGTTTTGAACATTGTGAAATAAGCACATATTCAATATCGCATTTAACAAGGTTCTTCAAACTGAATAACAATTTTAAAAAATACCTGGTTTATACAAAATATAAAATCCAAACTTAATTTAAGACCTATTGTAAGTCAAAGCATGCCCTCCATGTGGTTGCTAGTGAGTCCATTACCTTAAAATTAATCACCATTCCTCTTTTAAATGCTTTGAATATTAAATAAGTTTCACAAAACTTTTTTACACATTTTATAGTAGTTTCTTGAGAGAACAAATGTTTTCGGCTATGTTTAATGGCCTTCTTCAGGTTCAGTTTTAATTTTATATTTTATATAAACCAGGTATTTTTTAAAATTGTTGTTCAGTTTGAAGACCCTTGTTAAATGTGACATTGAGTATGTGCATATTTCACAACATTCAAAACTTTTTAAAATTTTTTTCTTTTTAAAACACATTAATTCTAAATCTGAAGATTGTTAAAAACAAAGGAAAATGTTTGGTTTTTGTTTAATTAAATCTAATTTATACCAGTAGTTTTGTGGAGATTATTTTAAAAATGATATTCAAATTTATTTTTGATACAGGTTATATTTTAATGTATGCAGTATTATTGTATGTTTTTCAACATTATCTCATAATTAAAAGTTAATTGAATTATTAAGCTTATGAATTGTATATTATGAATTTTATATTTCAGGTTTCTGACATTCCATTTAAACAGGGTGCCATATTTCTGAATAAAATTGGAAATTTTGAACCTGAAGAAACTGGCACAGTTAGAGAGGGACCAGGCGAAGGTGGTAAACCTCACTATGCACAACCAGAGGACCAGAATGAAGTTTCACAATCTATAATGGAATATGGAATCAATATGGTTGTTAGTGATCAAATTTCTTTAGATAGAAGCATTCCAGATGTTAGAATTCCAGAGTAAGTTCATATATAATTGAAAATTACATAATCAAATTAAAGATTTAAATAATTATATATATATATAATATACAGTAAAACCTCTATAATAGATACTTGTGGATGTGAAAAAACTCTCTGTTATGGAGAGGTGTTTGCTTAAGAGATTTTTATGAAAATTACATTTAAAGGTTAAAATATAAACTAGCCTGTACTGTTTTTATTTACAAACATATAAGACACATCAACTAATGAATTATCAAAACTGAATTTTTTTTAAAATTCTTTTTATGTTTGCTTGTTTTTCACAAGTGATTGTAGCAATATATCATAATTAAATCTTGTATTAGCTCTGCACCATCTATACCTTTTCTACTGATGTAAAACTTGAGTTTGTTTATGTACTCTAGGCTTGTCTGAATTACTCTATTGGTGGCTCTACAGCAGATGCCATTTCGGCTGTAAAGCCATTGCTGCTATCATTATCTTTATTCACTCTTTCCTGTATCTTGGAAGGATGTTGTTTGTTTCTTGGCTTGTGCATTGTGGCTTGTTCAGTTGAGATGCCAGAATCTATGTCAGCATGGTTTGCTATAATGGTAAATTATGCTGCATTTATCAGACTGTTGTCTCCATATCATTTTACAATAACTGCTGCAAAATAGTAACTGTTCTCATAGCTGGAAGGAGATCCAACTTTGAAGAAACAACTTTGAATTGTTGATGGCAGAACCTGTCTCAAAGCATTTTAAATTCATGAAATGGCTCAGAATACATTGAGTTGCTTTATCATCATATTAAATAACACTCCACAATCTATATTTGTAATTGTGCTTCAATTTATCCATACTTGACTTTGAAATTTTGATTCATGCCTTTTGTAATTAGAAATTAATATAATATTTTTAATCATTGAATTTATCATGAGATGGCTGTGTAACTGCCTTCCTCTAACAAAATTGATTTGTATTTAACTATGTACTAATCGTAAAACAGCCCAAACTAACATCCTGCAGATCATTTGGTGATACAAATAAATCAGATTGTTGTTTGTTATATCTCAACTCTGTTGTAAACTTTTATACTTGTGCTCTTGCATACATTTGCGCACACACTCATCTGTATGATCGTTTGTCCTGTATATATATCAGCACTATAACTCTTGCAATTTTTGTCTAATCCAGATAAAATTTTGGTTATATTCGTTTTATGGTCTGATGGAAAGTATAGGCTACTTATTATGCAGAAATATTAGCTATTGAATAAACATTTTACTTAATTCAGTTCAGTGATCACATTTATGTTGCGGTGACATCAGTGACCTCATTTAGTTCGTGCTTCACAACAGAAGTTGCATTTTTAAATATTTTGGCAAATGGCATATTTTAAACTTACTTCATTAAATTTTAACTTTGAAAAATGATAGTCACATTGTATAACAAATGATAGTCACATTTTATAACAAATTTTAAAAAAAATTTTTCCATAGTGATCAGGTGATGTTCTATTATCTAATTAGAAGTAGTGATCTTGTAACAAGCCCATTATTTAGAAAGTGTTATTGCTCATTTAATGTACATACAATTCATCTTTGTTTTATCAACATGGAATTAAAAAACTCGCTATTTTGTCAAAATACATAAATAAAATACCTAGGGGAAAGTGTTTTGTCCACTCCAAGTGAAATTTTGTTTTGTTGCACTTTATGTTACAACAGATAGTATAAACTACTTGTTTTGTAGAAATATTAGCAAAATCTTCTTGAATTCCCTGAAATCTCTACTCTTTTCAATTCTTCAATCTCTACTTTCGCATAAAAAGTATTCCATCATGCTTGATGGGGGAATTTTTAGTATTTAATAATATTAGCACTCAGCCAAGCATAGGCCAAACAAACTCTTTAAAAATTAATTCCATCCAAAATTTAAGTTGATACATTTAAAAAGTGTATTCATGTTTGAACTAATGCTAGTTCAGTATCAATCTTAGTTATTATTACTATGTTTTAATAGAATAAAAATTTTATTCTATTAAAACATAGTGTGATCTTGCTTTATGCAAAGGTTTATGCAGAATTAACTTTTAGGGCTTTATGCAGAATTTCATGATGCATGTCAGCAAGTATCATGAAATTCTGCATAAATTTGTGCTCCATTTCAAGTTGTCATAGAAGATTGCTTAAATACTTATGCAACCATTTACAATTAATAGAAAAACATAATTAAAATGTTTTAAACACATTTTTATGTTTTTGATAAATTAAAAACATTTTAATCCAGTGTTAGTATACAGAGCAAAATTTTATTATTCTGTCAAGTACACGAGAATACATGTAAACCAGGATATTCACCACAGTGCTTTCCATTCAGTAGTTTTTCATGTTTAATATGCGAGACGTTGGAGAAACACAGTATACTGGTACAGATTTATTGGAACTAAAAGTGATTAACTTAATTATTCATCATTCACAAAAACATGAGTCCTTGTATAACAATCCTGTATAAAACAAGACCCTAATCTGTAAGGATCATCTATTATAATTAAAGAAAAAACTATTATTATTTTTTATACCCCAATAATTTTTTATTTTTTAAATAATAAAAAATATTAAAATTTTTGAGAATTAAAAATTTTTACAAATTAATGAAAAATTTTGTTCAGAAATTTTAATTATTATATATCTTTTTACATTATACAGATGTAAAAAGTGGCAATATCCAAAAGATTTACCTAATACCAGTGTTGTAGTTGTATTTCATAATGAAGGTTTTTCTACACTTCTTCGTACCGTCCATAGTGTACTTAATCGTTCACCACCGCAGTTTCTTAAGGAAATTGTGCTTGTTGATGACTTCAGCGACAAAGGTATGTTACATATTGCACAGATATGCAAATGATTTATTTTCTAGAATTTTTATTAACTTAGATGAAGCTGCAAATAAATTTTTACAAAGTACATATTCTTTTAAATTAAACATTTGCTTATAGTAATAATCAAAATTATGTATGAAAATTCTGAAACAAGTTAAATATTTAGAAGAATATGCATTTTCATTTTTTTTTCTCATTTTTTAATTATGATTTTAAATATTAGATTTTGTGTGTTTTTGTTTGATTCTAAAAGTATTTTCAAACTAAAATTATTAATTTCTCAAAAAAATATTTGTTTTATTTGTCAATTTACATTGCAAATTTTTTATATAAAAATGACAATTTATTGATATATTTTAACCTCATTATAAAAAAAATGTGCTCTGGCATTCTTGTAATTCATCTCTATATATCTCTATATATATATATATTTATATAGAGTATAAATATATATAGTCTGCTAGTATATATATACTAGCAGACCCTGCCATGCGTTGTTGTGGCTCAAAATGTATCTATCAAAATATATAACACTTCCCCTGTGGGGGGGAATTTTTTGAAAAATTTCTTCTTAGTGTACATTCTCTTCACGTACCCTATTAAAACGCAATCAAAAACGCAAAACACCGCATCTAAAATAGTATAATAGAAACCAAGTTCTTCATGGTAAGCCTTAATCCTGTCCCTCTCCCCATAGGGGGAATATCGAAAAATCCCTTTTTAGTGTATGTTCTGTTGACGTACCCTATTAAAACGCAAAAAAATCGCATCTAAAATAGTATAAATAGAAGCAGAGCTCTTTACGGTAAGCCTTAATCCCGTCCATCTCCCCCCAGTGGGGGAATTTCGACATATATATTATATAAAAACACGTGCATATTCGAATGCAGCGTTGTGTCAAAATTTCAAAGGAATCGGTAGGAACAAACAAACATTACATTTTTATTTATATAGATAGATAGATGATGATCTGCTTTAGTTCATCCTCACAGAAAAGCAAACTTAGGTCGTCGTTCTCGTAGAGCCATCTGCTGGACATAAAAGCCTTAACCCTAGATGATATCTTTTAATTTATATGAATGTTTAACGGAATAATATACAGCCTATGTCCACCCTGAAGTTCCATTCTAAATATTGGTGAAAGAATTTTTGAAATTGGATGAGTAGTTTTGGAGATTACCCCCTACATACAAACTTACAAACATTACCTCTTTATAATATTAGTATAGATTAAATGGTTAATCACTTAATTGTTAAAATTTAACAGATTAGTCTAAGAAAAACTTGAATTTGAATACAGTTGCTATAGAAATATAGTTCCACCAATAAAAAGCAGTTGCATAGAGCTATATAGAGCAGTTACATGTTCAGATATATTTTTGCCTATATAATTATTAGCATTAAGTACTATGTCAGAATGATCTATTTACTTTTAATTTGAAAGCATAGTTTTTGTTGATACTGATTTTCAGGTATGCATTGGATACATTTTTTTTATTTTTTTATTATTTATTATATTGTTAAGAGTCAAACATAAAAGAAATTATATTATAATTAAATTATTGATTTATATTCAGTAATTTGTTTTCAGCCATAGTCTTAAAGCAAGAAATAAATTAATTTAATTTGATTTTTATCTTTGGGGCCAATTGAAATTTCTAAAATTACTGTTTACATGTCTTATTCTAAATTATATTTACTTCTTTCAGACAACTTATGAGTTGAATAACAATAAATATTTTAATACTTAATATAGAATCACTTCTATGTCAAATCTGACAATTTTTCATATGAATTAGTTATCTCAATTTTCAGAACTGAAATTTAATTTGATTTCAGTTTCACTTGTAGAAATTATGCATAATCAACTTGAGATGAAATTAGTTTTTAAGAAATGAGAATGTAATTTCAGTTTTTTGGTGATTTTATGATAAAAATGATTTTATAAAGCTGGTTAGAATTAAAGGGTTATTTCTTATCTGATATAAAATGTCTATTTCTATAGAACATCTAAAAGGCCAACTTGAAGATACCATTCGTCAACTTAATAAAGTTAGATTAATAAGAAACAAACAGCGAGAAGGACTTATAAGATCTCGTACAATTGGAGCTCAGGAATCTCTAGGCGATGTTGTTCTATTTTTGGATGCTCATTGTGAAGTTAATATGAATTGGTTACCTCCTTTATTGACACCTATTTATTTAAACAGGTGACATATTATGTAATATTAGTTTACCAGTTTTTTTAAGAATTTTATTTTAAGTCTATTCTGAAATTGAGATTTTTGTTTGTATCTTATAATTAATGAATTAGCAAAATCAATGGCTTTAATCTTCACAATAATTTTTTTAACAGGACTGTGATGACTGTACCTGTGATTGATGGTATTGACAAAGATACTTTTGAATACCGTCCAGTTTACAGGGGAAATGTACATTATCGTGGTATATTTGAATGGGGAATGCTATATAAAGAAACTGAATTACCTGATAATATAGCCAAAACTCGTAAACATTTTAGTGAACCATACAAGTAAACTTGATATTTTTATTTTATTAGAATTTTTAAATATAAAACTGTTAATTTTATATTTAAAACTTAGAAAAGAATTTTGATATAACTTCACAACCAACAACTGCCTACCCTTAACCATTAACCGGTGCGAAATTCTTTAAAATCGGCTTTGTTAAAACCGGTTAATGGTTAAGGGTAGGCAGTTGTTGGTTGTGAAGTTATACAACCCGGTGTGGTAAGAAAGCATATTAATTAATTTTGATATAATTTTAGATCTCCAACTCATGCAGGAGGTTTATTTGCTATTGACAGAAAATATTTTTTGGAACTAGGAGCATATGATCCTGGTTTATTAGTTTGGGGTGGAGAAAACTTTGAATTATCTTTTAAGGTAATTAATAGAATTTGGTTATTTCCAATATTAATACAGTTTTTTTTTTAAAGTTTTATGAACTGTGTTTAGAAAGATTTTCATGTAAAGTTATTTTTAAAATTCAGATTTGGCAATGTGGAGGAAGTATTGAATGGGTTCCTTGTTCAAGGGTTGGACATATCTATCGTGGATTCATGCCTTATTCTTTTGGAGAATTAGCATCCAAGCGAAAGGGACCTATTGTTACTGTGGTAAATGAATATTATTACATAAGAAATTTTATTTAATCATCAAAAATTAATATATTTTTTATTTAATAGAATTATAAACGTGTTGTGGAAGTTTGGATGGATGATTATAAAGAGTATTTCTATACAAGAGAACCTTTGGCACGCCAGTATGATGCTGGAGATATTTCAGAACAGATGGAATTGCGAAATAGACTTAAATGCAAAAGCTTTAAATGGTTTATAGAAAATGTAGCTTATGATGTCTTAGATAAATTCCCTCTTTTGCCAAAAAATTTACATTGGGGAGAAGTAAGTCACATTAAATTCTTATGAAGTATAATTGGTTATAGACTGTAAAATATATTGATTCATTTTAAAGGTTCGTAGTTTGTTAACAAGTCAATGCTTGGATACAATGAGTTCTCAACCACCATCAATTGTTGGAATGAGTCATTGCCATGGCTCTGGTGGAAATCAGGTGAGTTTTATAAATGTAATATGCAACACACAACTGTAATTATATATTTTAAAACATTTACTGGTTTATTAAAATATTGAAAAATGATAATAGTTTATTTTCAAATAATTGAAAGAATAATTGAAAACAAAACTTTCTTCAATATTTTTTAATAGTTTAATAATTTGAAGTATTTCACAAAGTTTTTAATTTTATTAAAAACTTTGTGAAATACTTCAAATTATTAGATTTCAATAACAAAGAAATAAATGTTAATAAATATAGAAATATGTAATGTAAAATGGTAAGCTTTCAGAGTTTTAAAAAGTTTTTTTTCCTATTTTAATATTTTCTTTTCTAAAAAAACAAGTGTTTTAAAAAATATTTGTAGATATAATGGATTTTGAATTTAATTAATGGTTAAAATAATCTTGAAAGTTTTAAATGTATTGAAATGGAATTTCCTTTCCAATATAACACTTTTTGAACTTCTGGGCTCTTAGTCAATAGAAAGCTGACATTTGAATTCATAGAATATTTAAGATTTGCATTGCATCTTAAGAGGACTGGTTTTCAATCACTGTGACACGAAACATTTCATTTTTGTTTTTTTAATTTCTTATAATTAAAACTTTTATTTATTTATTTTTTTTTGTAAGTTTCCTTTCTGTAGGCACTAACAGGGTTTTTTTCTCCATGCCCATCATGGGTTTAGACAGTCCACAATGGGGACAACTAGGTAATGAGGGGCATAGCTTGACAGCCTTTCCAAAAATAGCTCCCAGAATAGCAGGCCTAAACCACCTTGTCATCTGGCTTTCTATACTACTATAATCAGTTTTTATGTTACTTTATTTGCAATTTTTTTTATTTGTATAGTGTCTTTTGAAAATGTCTTCTGTTTTGAACTGTTACATCATTTCATCTGGAATAAAATCATTACTGAAAACTTTTTTATCATTAGTTATGGATAGGCTATTTTTTTCTGTTAAACACAAAATATTGATTAGGTACTGAATTGACTAGTTCAATTGAACAATATTACACAGTGTTAAGATAGTTATTTAACTATATTATGTCTTTGTCCACTTTGGACTTTCTTGTGAACTAGGACTTGTTATACTGAGGGAAGTGAATCATGCACCTAGATAAAACACCTTTAAGTTAACATAATTCTGTAGTTACTTAACAATATTTTCAATTTTTTCTAGTATAATTTTTTAATGTTACATGACAAATGGCTTGAAAAAGAACATATTGTAACATTTCTTTTATACAACAAAATTTTTTGTAATTTTAATTACAGTAGAGCGTCGTTTATCCGAATCAATTGGGGACTGGGGTTGTTTGGATAACTTATTTTTTGGATAACCAATTATGTACAAAAAAATATATTAACCTATCCCATGTTGAAATTTTTCTCCGTTACGTGTTGCTTCACGTTGAATTTTCGTCGATGTTAAGCCTAGCATAAGCTTTTTAAAATAATAATCGTGGCTATTGTATCGCTAAAAATTATTTTTTTATTTTGTACAAACAAAATTAATTTATTGAAAAATATAAAAACCAAAAAAAATATACTTTAGAAGTTGATCTAGTATCAAAAACGTTTGATTCAGTATGACACACAATCCTCAGAAAAACACCACATAAAAGTGCCAGTGCTGCCAGCTAAAACACACATACCAACAAAAAAAATATTGGAGTAGCCCAAGATATAGCCAAAGATTGCAGCGCCACAGCACTAGCGAAAATTTAAATTTGCCAACTGGAATGCTTTCGGATAACCAACTTTCAGATAAATGATGCTCTACTGTATTCATTTCAACTAAAAGTAATTATAAAAATCCATAAATAATTCTTTGTCTTTTGATACATTTTGACAAAACATTTGAAGTATATATATATATATATATCAGTTCCTTTTTATCTTATGTAATTATAACTATACGCTTAATACTGGAACTGTTATTTTTCAACTTTTTGTATGGATGTTATATTATTGATGCAAGTGAAGGAAATATTGAACTTACATACATTTTTCAACATAAAAATTTTTTTTTTTTACTTTATTTTCATAAATGCTAAGAAAACTTTTTAAGTGCATCATGAGTTTGCAATGAAATAACCTTCCAGTAACAAAAATTATAATATCATATTGATGAATGTTTTCGATCTTAACCAAGATCTGCATCAGGTCACCAGTGATATTCCAAATTGGAATGTGCAGAACACAACTTTTCAAAAATATTTTTTTAAATTATTGGAACAAAAACATAACAAAAAAAAAAACAGTTATAAATGTAAATAATTGATGATAATCTTAAGAAGTACAAAATTATAACAGATACAAAAGTAAGACATAAAATATTACAAAATAATAATAATTAGTCTATTGGTAATTCCCAGTTTTACATAAAAGTATTGCCATGCATATGAGATGCTTTTTCCATCTTTAAAATTAATGCAATTGCCAGTCAGGTCAGCCTCGTATATTTCCAAGGCTTCTAGAGCTCTGTTGTGGTCGGTTTGAGATGATTGCTTAATTAATGTGGCATTCTGGAGATTGGTTTACATGTCTGTCTCAGTGACATAAATGGACAGAACAGTGGTATACCTTTTATTCAAAATATTGTAATGATGTTCTTGCAATCTTTTGTGTATGGAGCACTTAATGGATCCAATGTATATTGTATCTCTTTTGAATCTGTTGTCCCTCGCAGGAACACTGTACACCCCTGGTGCCCTACATTTATTGGCCTTGTCCTTTCCATTGTGTAGTAATTTATACACTGTAGGAACTCATTTATATGCCAACTTGGTATCCATATTGTTAGCAATTTCTTTGTATAAGATATGTAAATACTGGTCATACTCAATCACTGTGCACGTGGGGTTAGGGTTGCATGTTTGACCATTGTTGGAATCTCCTTGGTTGTTGGAGTTATTGCGTAAGGAGTGTTGGTTCTAGTAGGCACAAGCTAAATTACATATTAGGTCCCTTCTATACTCATGCTTTATAGCTATGTCCTTCAGATGTTTTAGCTCTTTTAAAGTGTCCACCCAGTTTGTATGGTGTCTAAAGGCCCATCTTGTAAGTGCATGGAAGGCACTTACAAGATGGACCTTTACACACTTTATATGAGAAAAAAGTTGACTGAGTTTGCCAGAATAAATAATGGTAAATAGTCAGGTTTTTAATAGATGCCAGTTTCTTTTCGGCAAGGGCTGCATATAATGTTAATATTTAAGAAGTGTGCACTAGTATTACTTATCTGATCTAATTTAAGGCCAGTCTGATTGACAGTTGTATTAACTTTAAACATGGAAAAAGTGTCTCATATGCATGGCAATGCTTTTATGATAAATTGGGAATTACTGACATAAACTAATTATTATTATTATTTTGTGGTTTTAGGCCCTTTACTGCTCAGAGAACACAAAAAGGCCAGAGAATGTTATATAACAAGGGTGTCTGTGTCGGTTAGTAGCTGGGGTTTCAAGATGGGCTCATAATTGTCCCATATAAGGCTCATAAGAAATTACTAGTCCCTTGTGAGGGCTCATATCATTACATGTATATGTTGTGTTTCAAATTTTATTCTGCATGATAAATTTTATGTTTGTGCTATAATAACTTACCATATTCTTTTCTTAAATAAGAGGAAAAGTAGATGGATAGAAAAGTTTGCAGTTTGTGTTGTTTAACCAACCAGACCTAACCAACACTTTTTGAGTAACTCAAAGCTACTGAGGAAAAGAAAGCAGCAGTGAGCAATCCATTGATAACAATACAGCATCCCACAGGAGTAGAATAGTATGCCTTCCAGGAGGATTTGAGGAGGAAACCCGGAAAAACTCCATCCGACCAGCTGAGGAAGAACCAAAAACCAGTTAAGAAACCCAACTGAATGCTTAATAAAGACAAAGGGCAACAAAAATAAAAGGGGATGCTGGACATTATTACCAAGTGAAAAGTAGGAATAATAGAAAGAACAGATTTTAGAATATAAGTAACTTCACCACACAGTCTCCAACAGATGTGTAGTTCTATGTGGTATGTGTTGAACCTGAAAATATAATGACTTATAGTTAATACCTAGTAGAGGGCTGATGGAAGAAGCCCAATAGAGCCAGGTAGAGAGGAAGAGAAACAAATATAAAAGGTCAGACAATAGCAGCAGTGGATAGGTGAGGTGGCCTGCTAATACCACGCCAAAAGAGGCACCCACGGGTGGAAAAAGACATTATTATTATTATTATTTTGTAGTATTTTATTTCTTTTTTTAAAATCTGTCATAATTTTATAATTCTTAAAATTACCATTGATTATTTAAATTATTTAATGGTTTTGTTCCAATTATTTTAAAAAAAACTTTTTGAAAAGTTGTGTTCTGTGCATTCTGATTTGGAATATCACTGGTGACCTGATGCAGATCTTGGTTAATTAAGATCGAAAACATTTGTCGATATGACATTAAAATTTTTGTTACTGGAAGTTAAAGGTTTAGTTGATCGTGCTTAGTATTTAGTTCCAGTCATTAAGAAGTATTTTTTATCATGAGTTCAGCCAATTAGTGAAGACAGTTTCTGACATGATATTCTCAAACCACCCATATAAATTTCTGATCTGACTTGCATTCCAATCATTCAAAGTTGTTGGCTGATGTCTATACTTCTTCAGTCATCTGACTATTAATTAAATGTAATTTCATTAATAAATGCAATTTTTATCCTTATTTTGCTTTACAGATGTCTTAGTACATATTTTTTATTCACTATATCATGTAAATTTTTTACTCATTATATTATTAAATATATTGATATTTAAAAAATATTTAAATAAGTATGTATTAAAATCTTAAAAGGTTTTTTTTTATTGGAAATTTACTGATCATTAAAAAAAGTAAAGATGAAGATTGCAGAATATTTTCAATACTCATTAAAAGTNTATCGGGAGCGTTATGAAAGAGCATATAATCAGGAGAAACACAGCCGTTTGTAAGATAGTTATGGGCCTC